AAAGTGATGATTGGGGACAGCGGACACCCACAAGGACTTGGAAACGAGGAAGCGCTGCCCCGGTTCCTGGGGACGCTGTGTCCTTTGCTCTGGGCGGGGGTTGCAGCCGCAGTCTGAGTCTGCGGGCTTCTTCCCTCCGTGACATCAGTGTCACGTCTGTCACCTGGCGGGTGGTAAGTCAGGTCCTGAGTAGATACTCCAGGGAGGACGCGGCCAGAGCAGAGCCCCCACGTGTGAACATATCCCAGCGCTTCCCCCAGCTCTGTGGTTGTAGTTTCATTGCCCACTTCCTGTCGGGGCTGGTACTGTTGCGAAGGTCAGGCAGGAGGCGTGGAGGCCTGGGGTGGGTCAGGGATGCGTCTGTTCGAGAGGAAGCCGGGGAGAGATTGCTGGTATTTTGACTCTGAGGTGCCCGTGGCCTGTTCTGGTTCGGCCCACGGCGGGGGTCTCATTTCTTCTTGATGACACGGACAGCCTGTTGCCGAGGCTCCAGGGACAGCCACGGGGTCACACTGCACCCTCTCTCTCACCGTCCAAGAATATGTCATGTGGACCCCCTTAGATTCTTATTAGAAATCTGGGTGCTCATCTCCTTTCTACTTTTTTCCTCTTTTTTGATTTATTTTTACACCTATCTTTTCAGCATATGTGCTATGGGATTCTTCCATTCTTTTTAACTTTGCATTTGTGCAAAATGGTAAAAACAGAAAAACTAACCCGAAACAACACACAAACCTGAAACAAGTACCAAAATGCTTCCAGGCTAGATTGCTCATGACTCTAATCCAGGGGGCCTCAAACTTTTCAGACAGGGGGCCAGTCCACTGTCCCTCAGACCGTCGGAGGGCCGGACTATAGTTTAAAAAAAAAACTATGAACAAATTCCTATGCACACTGCACAGATCTTATTTTGAAGTAAAAAAACAAAACAGGAACAAATACAATATTTATATTTGCATGTGGCCTGCAGGACATAGTTTGAGGACCCCTGCGCTAATCTGTTAAAATGGAAAGGCCTGTGATGTTAACCCACCGCCCATGGGAGGCCAGGCCACCGGGGAACTGCTGGCCTGGGTCCCCTGAGCCCGGAAGAGCTGGCCCAGGTCCCCTGAGCCCAGAAGAGATGGGTTCAAGTGGTCATGAAGAGGGTAGCTGGCTCGCCCCGACTGGGGCCACGGCTGGCCTGGCTCTGCCCGGCGCGGGGCTCACGGCGCCCTGTCCTCTGTCCCTGCAGGTGGAGATCGAGAAGCTGGACTACCACCACTACCTGCCCCTGTTCTTCGACGGCCTCTGCGAGATGACCTTCCCCTACGAGTTCTTCGCGCGGCAGGGCATCCACGACATGCTGGAGCACGGCGGGAGCAAGATCCTCCCCGTCATCCCGCAGCTCATCATCCCCATCAAAAGTAAGTGGGCGCCACGGCCTCCCGCGGCCCTGGGGCCGCGTTCGGGCAACTCGCTAATGACACAAGGACCACCGACGGAGACTGTGCCCGGGGTGGGGATTTTCATAAGCTGGTGCCCGGGCCACATCCCAAGTCTCCTAGTTGGCCACCAATGCATGGGAGGAATAATCACTCATCGTAGCCTGGGAACGTCTCAGTGAGACTGTACACACCCCCTGTTGGTTCCCAGCCACACGGTGTAGGTGGGGCCTGAATCGCTGAGTAATGGGTGTGTCTCTCTTCCTCACACTTCCCTCTTCGCCCTCCACCCTTCAATAGCTCCATCGCCATGAAATCAACCACCAGTCGTTACACGGTCGTGGCCGCATCCCGCTGCTCACTGTCGCTCACACATCTACTCTGACGACATTACTTTCCTCCAACTTATTTTTCTCAGCTTTGGGAATCGCCTCTCATTTTCTTTACTTAATTTGTGCACAGTACGTACTTGGTTGTCAAATATTTCAGAATTTACTGACGTGACGAGAGCACGTTGGTGTTTGTTCATCTCCAGTCCCTCCTATGGCTCTTTGTACGAGCAGCAACACTCACTGTGAGCGGTCTGCTAGGAGGCGCGCGACCGGCCGCCGTGGGGGTACAGATGCACCCTGACCTGCAAACGGGCACGTAAGGCGGTGGCCTCCCTGGGGCCGCGCTGATGTGCAGGGTCACCAGCTGTGAAGGATGAACGTGCAGACGCAGACTCGGCTGAGGCGACCTGAGCAGTAACATGTTCAAGAGCAGAATCTTCCTGTGAGAACACCCGAAGGAATAACTCACCGTGCCAGGCTAACATGTCAGAATCCGTATCCTACTCCCCAAATTCCTTTGAGCATTTTATTTAATTAGAAAGGAGCAAGGACAATCGAAATGTGCCAGCCTTTATTTGTGGTCTAATAATTTTATTTATAGATCTTGAAAATTTCCAGGTAAATTCTTTTAAAAGTGATAATAACTGTAAAATGGCAATGCCTTTTACTTCAAGAAGAAAATAGCCCATTTGTTCTGAAAATCTGGGGGGAAGGTATGCTCCTCCGGATGGTTTTGGTTACAGAATGCAAAAAAAAAAAATGGGTTCAAGTGGTCATGAAGAGCTGGTTTGCTTCATAAGCCACACACCCAGCACCCCGGAGAGGGCCTCACCGCAGACCTGGTGGCATCGCGTGGCTTGCCAGTCACTGTTTTCTGCAAGGTCACCTTGTG